TTGCTCTCTCCGCATGGCCATTCATGGGGGTTAACGATGCGTGCCCGCCAGGTGCGCCACGCTCGCCGCCCCGTGGCCGGGGCGGGGGCACCGGGCCGCCTCCGCGCGGCTGGGGCCGCTCGCCTTGGCGCGCTCCCGGCGGCCTTTGTCGGAGAAACCCAGCCCTCCAGAGGGCGCGCGGCGCGCCAGTCGCGGCGCATTTTTTTGTCACCTGCGCGCCTTGGGGCAATTGCCATCGGTCACGAAACTAAGAGGACAAAGTACATATAGAGAAGTGAGACAATGGTGAGACATGGAAGCCATCGGGCGAACCAGACAAAACAGAGAAAGCAGACAGAGAAACACAAGCAACGCGAACACGCAACCCAAAAACAAAACACGGCGCCAACAAGCAGCCGAGCAGTGCTTCCACCGAAAAATCGACAATGCGGAACATATGTTCCAGAGTGCATGACCTGAGCTTCATCAAGGTCAATTGCATCAATTAAAGTGACGGGCAATTAAATCAAGACGCACTCAGATCCGCTGGGGGCACATTTGCGAGGGGCGCAAGCCGGCGCGAGATCATGTTCCCGCCTGGTTGCGCGAACTCCGTCTGCGCGCGCGCACAAGCTGAGCCGAAGCTATGCCTTGCCCGGAGCAGGGGAGGTCACGGAGAGGGGGCAAGTTCATCGTTTCAGGGCGCCGCAGTGCTGTGCAACTCCCACCACGGCAAGGCCAGCTCGCGCAGGCAAAGCGGGTCGCGGGCAGCGTCCGGCGCTCCAGCGTTGCGGCGTCCGCGTGCCACACACAACCCAGGAAGCGTTCACGCCGGCGGCATGCAAGCGACGTTGTGCAAGGAGGACGTCACGTCGGCAAGCAGATCTCCTCACTTTGGCAAGGTCCAAGCGGGCTGGGCACAAAAGAAACAAACACCTCCCAGGCAGCACCGCTGCGGCAAAGGTGCCAGGCCAGGCCTTTGTAGGGCGCTCTGCGACCCAAAAAAAGGTTCGCAACATCGCTGCTGTTGCGCGGGACGCCTGGCCGCGACTCATGGGCGGCCACATGTTGCAACCCTTCCAAGACAGACAGACAAGAACCGAGACAGAGGCACCGGACAAGAACGACGGAGCTGCGACACTGCCGCCTGGCAACCGACGGCAAGTTCGGGATGGGTTGACCGCTGGCTTGCTGGCTTGCGGCGCCCGCAAGCAACCAGCCGCGGCCCGCAAGAAGAGCCAACTGTTGACGTCAGGCACGTGGCCCCCCCCCGCGACAAGGGGACTTTTGATCCATGCCTGCTTTGTTCGCCTTGGGTCAGCACGCGGCCCTCGCCGAGATGCACAGGCGGCTCTCGCCCGGACGCGCTGCACAGTCAGGCCTTGCCGCGGTGGAGCCGGGTGTGCGCATGCCGGTGCAAGTGCAAGGACAGCAGGTCAAACACAGCACGTGCCCGCTCTGGAGATGTGATGACATAGATGTCATCGAGGTAGGCTTATGTGGTCGGGCGTTCGCGGGCGTTCGCGAGCTCGGGTCGGTCGAAGACCCGGTGTGGGACACCGCGCCCTGCCTACCGAGCAGCAGGGTTTGGTTGCCCTCGGCGTCCCCTGCGGCAGTCCCGCTTTCGTGGCCGCGCAGCTCCAGCTCACGCGGGCCAAGCAGGATCAGCTCGCGGCGTGTGTTGCAAATCTGTTGGGCGCCGGTCATCTCCCGGGCTCCGCCCTCAAGATCGCCCAGCTCCCCGCTCGTGTTTTCAAAAAAGCTGGAGCTCGTGTCACGTGCAACACTCTTGTGCGCGAGGAGCGCAGCTTGCGGTCGACACGACCGCCACTCACAGCCAGGGTTTGTGGCCTGTTCCTTGCGAGACCCTGCCCGGCCCATTGCCTTGCAGGAGGCCCGGCGTCGCAAGGAATCCACCTACCCCGAACTTGTTGGCAACGCCCGTTGTTGCCTCGTCGTGCTCGGTGTTGAGGCCGGGGGCCGCTGGAGCACAGGCAGCGGATTTTTTGCGCTTGCTTGCCTGGGCCAAGCCGCGTGCGGCGCCTGCCGTGTTGCGGCTTGCTTTGCGCAGCGCCTATGTGGTTTGCTTTCGGCAGCTGCCTCCACCGAGAGCCCGACTTGTTTGCCGTGGGGCCTGGCCGAAGCAACCTTGATGGGCCCGATCCCGATGCCAGCGACCTGCTCGCGGGGTTCCTGGACGCACCAGACGTGTCCCAGCTTGCCGGCGCGGTAGTGCCCTGCACGAGGGGAGCTGGCCCCCGCAACAACAGCATTCCTTTTGCAAGCCCTAGTGCCCGGGCCCCTTATGCACCAACAAGCTGCGACTGCAGGAGCAAAAGAGCGTGGGGAAAAAAAGAGGAGGCTTTAAAAAGTAGAGCTTGGCCCGAAAGCATGTTTCCTCAAACGCCCTTCCAGACACCTTTTTACAGCGATGCGGCAAGCGCATCTGTCTGCACGCGGCGATGCTCAATGTCGATGGTCAAATGAGAACTCAATCCCATCGTCCAACAAGAGGAAACATGGCAGTGTCCGCGCACGCTGCATTGTTCCAGGCTGATGCGCGGAAGTCGACGTCTGTTTTGAAGCTGTTCTGTGCACGTTTCTCCCCGCAAGACGCTTGGCGCTTGTATCTGCGCGCAAGATGCTCAGCTGGAGCTGGGCTGTGGAGGTGCTCCGCGCGCTATACGTCCGCGCCTCAGGGTTACCATTTTCCGGTCGGAGCCGCCAGGAGTACACTCCACATACTACGGCTTCTTTGTTTGAGCCGGAGCTGCCGCGGACCGGGGGGACTGCCATCTTGCGCTGTCTGGCTTCCGGTGGCTGTCTTACAGGAGGCTTGCTGGCTTGCTGGCTGCGGAAAGTCAAACACTTGCGCAACATGCTGGCAAGTACAAACATGGCAGTCTCGTTCCCTCTCTCTCTCTCTCTCTCTCTCTCTCTCTCTCTCTCTCTCTCTCTCTCTCTCTCTCTCTCTCTCTCTCTCTCTCTCTCTATAAAAAATAAAAAAAATACTTTCCGAAAACGAACCCGGGACCCCCTAATGCTAAACCGGTTTTCGCCGGGGGACCCGTTTAGTAGGCCAGCCTCCCCGCATGCAGCGCTGTTGCTGACCCGTCAGCGTCCGGGCACAGGCAGCCGACTGCACCCAGCCGCTTCGGAGTGCCGGCTCCATTTGGCCGACTGACGCATTGAATCGCCGCCGAGCACTACGATAAGTCCATGCCGGGGCTCCGGATCCAGAAGGTTTCCCGAACAGAGTGTAAACCTCTTGCACTACGTCATCTGTGTCCCAAGACGTTGGAAAATAGCAGGATATCACCAAGAACCGCCGGTCGTGATACCAAAATTTCAGTGAGCGCACCCGCGGCGAATAAGCATGGGAACTGACATGTTGCATTTTTTACGTAAGGACTTAGCCACGCAAAGTCCAACACCCCTGTGCGAATCACCGCCGCTGAGGTAGATCATGTGTCCAGAACATGTTTCGATGAACTCCTCCGCGTTTTGCCGCCAAGTCTCAGTCCAGAAGGTCTATGACAATCTCGATCGGTTACGTGGTGTCCACTGATGGATTGCCGGTCCATCTTCCCTACGCCGAACACGGACAAAAGCCTTTGGAATTTGTTGGCGACCTTTGTGCAGGGAAACAGGGGCCAGAGTCACACCCAACACAAGCCCTGCGGGCGGCCGTCGCGCCGAAGCGGACAATCAAGTGTGGCGTCGCAGCACAGTGCCTCGCCCACGCGCGTTGCCCCGCAGGAGGGTGTGGGTGATGACGAGCTCCGTGACAGATCTGAGCAGGCGGCCGCAGGTTTGCAACATGCCCAGGTCTCCCCCAGCACATATCCGGGTGTTGCTTCTGAGGAGCTTGCGGATGCCACCGACTTCAGCCTCAGCACAATGGCGGCGTGGCGGAGAGCACCCTGCACCCTGCGCAACTCGGAGTCTCGGCCTGCGACAAGAGCACCTCCTGCGAGACTCGGCCTGCAGCAGCACCTGCAAGTGGACGGACGGCGCAGAGGAGATGCTGAGCACGAAGCGCAGCGCAGAACAATGCGGATTGCAGGCAGCTGCGGGAGCTAGCAGTTCCGGGTACGCGCGTTCTTCGCGCCGACGTGCCACCGCCAGCCAGGGAGCAGCTGGGCCTGTGACTGGGGCGGGGGGGGGCGGCGGGGCTCCTGATCTGCCGCTTGGTGCGCCTCCAGTCGCTACATGCGCCTCCCGCCCTTCACCGGGCAGCAGCTGCCGGCTGGCGCCGTCGGCCGACGTCCTCGGGCTGGCTGGCGCCTCCGCCCTTGCGCGCACCGTTCGCCGCTGCCCATGACCCATGTCAGTTTGCTTGACCGCATTCCCGCGGTGCAGTCGGCTGCAGCAATTATATCCTGTGCATGCTTCCGCCATCCGTCAACCAGGAGTTCGCTAGCCCGCGGTGGCTTCGCCCGTGGGCTGCCGCAGACCGGCTGGCAGCGCCCTTTTCGCGGGCCCCTTCAAGAGGAAGAAAAGTAAGATCTGGATCAGGACATTGAAGATGGGTAAGCGTGCGCCCATCATTTTGTGCAGCGGTTTGTTTTTGCACGGAACCTGGCCTAGTGTTATTTGCTGTTTGTTGAGGCACAAAGCGAGGCGGAACCGAAATTGAGGTGAGACAAGGTGAGGAGGGAAGAGCTGACATGGAGTTACAGACAGTACATTCCACATTCCAAACGGTGTGGGGCCAGTTCGCGCTTGGCAAAAGCGCCAGGGCGCATTAAGCATTCCAACAAACCTGCTGTTCAATGGGTTCTGGTATTTGTGGCTCAATGCAGGCACAGATGATGAGTTTCAGCGGGTTGTCCCAAACAAGTGTGAAAGAGAGACTGCCGCACATTGCCCAGGGCCGAAGCTTGAACGTTGGCCGAATAACAATAGCTTGTGAACCAACCCTACGCCAAACGCAAGCCAAACTAAACTCACCACCATAAGCCAACTCTACTCATGCCGTAGGCAAGCCCCCGACCCACCCAATCAAAGCCAAACATTGACGTTGGCTACTTATAGCCTTAGAACTTTGGGGCAGTTGTGAAGCCATGGCTTGCGGCCTACCCAATGTTGTCAGCACAGGCCGTCCACCAGGCACGTTCCATGCACCAAAGGCATTTGTACTTGAAGGCCACTGTGGTGCGCCCCTGAGGCGTGGCAACGCTGCGCGGAGAGCTGGCAAAGTTCAGCGCAGGTTCCATGAGACGCGCGCTTGTCAAGGTATTGCGGCTCGTCGCACCGCATGTCAGGCATTGGCAGTTCCTGCCGCTGCCGGATCACAGGAAGAGTATGTTCAAGCGCTGTGTGCGCCATCCTCGGACGTGCTTGGAGACGAGACGCATTCTGGGTTTGAGCAGGCAACAGCGTTGAGTTGCAGTGTGAACAAATCTTACAATAACCCCGCAAGCACACATTGCTGCTTGTATTCAGGACGTGTAGAGGCAATAGCGGAGCAAAGCTGCAAGCTGCTAATTTGGGCAAGAGACTGTGAGACAGACGCGCTGACAATGAATCGCGCGTGTCGAGGCTCGAAACATTTCGTCCATAGCTCGGTCGTTTCTCAGCCGTGTTGTCCAGGCTGGTTTGGTCGCGCTGCAGCTTGCCCATCATTTCGCTCGCCGTCGCGGTGTGTAGGATGAACGTGTACTTTTTCAACAAACGACAGAGAAGTTATTGCTGCAGAATTTGCCACAAGCTCAACATTTTCTTCAGGCCATTCGTAGTGCCCGTAGCCCCTTTGCATGCTGAGGCCGCCCCGTGGTGCGTATGCAGTGTTTGGCTCCAAGTTTGAACTGATGCAGCTTTTGCGACGCAGCTCGACATGCTCTCCACTAGGTGGCGTCAGCTGAGTTCAGCGCTCGTGGCGTCGCAGCTTTGGTGCCATGCCCAGCCTGCTTTCCCCATGAGAATCCGGGTAAACTCCTGAGTACGGCCACACACAGTTTGCTACGTTGCCCGATGCCAATGTTCTAGATGATATGTCAGAAGCGTTTGACGGCACGGGCTGCACACAAGAAGCAGCAAGGATGGGGCCAAATTTCCCTTAACAAGTATCTTGCTCCCAGCAATCCACCTGTTTTGGAACGAACCTATATAGGCAAGACCTTCCAAAGACGGTGTGGTTTTGGCAAGATGCTCAGGCTTGGCCAATGGACACCGGGCGCCTTTTTATCGAAAACGCTGCCAGCCTCGGTACTGCTGGACTGAGTGTCTCGGGCTTTCTTCTCAGCGCAACTTTTTACATCCCTTTGCCCAAGTAAGAAACACGTGCCACAACATTCAATCAGCATGCAAGGAGATGCTGGCCATACCGACCGAGCTTCTTTTTTGCGACCGTGCTTCGACCTGAGGTTGGACAGAGACAAGTTGCGGGGGATACAGGGGATGTGGCAGTGTGATGGCTAGACCCACTGAAGGCCCTGTTGGACTTGCAACATGAAGTGCCGGGATGCGCAGCGGTGCAGCCATTTATCCACGCGCCATGTTTTCCAGCAAGGCCAGACATTATTCATTATGCAGCTGCAGCGTAGCAAAAAAACAGAGTGACATATTTTTGGCAGTTGCTTCCACTAGATGATTTTTGGTGCCGTTTTACTTTTGAGCCTGCTGCTCCATGCCGCCCGCCTGATGGAGCACGTGCGGGCAGCAGATTTTTCCAACAGCATCTCGCCGAACTGCCAATCTTGTTTTCCAAAGGTTGCAATGTCCATGCGACGTGTTTTCATGGCAACCCCAGCGCATGGCGGCATAGCGATGGAATGGCCCAGGCATCCCCAGCGAGTTTCCTGAAGGAAGTCAAACTGCAAGTCCACGGGCATCCGTCAAGGAGCCAGCTGAATGGATGAAGCACACGCAGTTGCAACAGTCAGTTGCCAAACTGCCCAGGATCCTTTCAGCGACTGGGTGAAGACTCACAGTGATCGATATGCAGGAAGCCTTGCCCAAAGACTGGTCAATTTGCAGCTACTGGCGTGGCTGACTTGCATGCAGGCCTGTGTTGTAATGTAGTGCAATCTAGCATGTTGTAGGAGTAGTGGCGCCGGCTTCGCCAGTTGGCGGAAGTTTCAAAAAAAGAAACTATAGTTCTGTTCTGCTTCCTTTTCTTCTTTCGTTTTGTCTTCTTTTTTACTTCCCTCTTTCCCTTCATTGTTTTTGTTCGTCGTATCTTTATGTTTGTCTGTAGTTATTTCTTTCTTTCTTTCTTTGTTTCTTTCTTTCTTTATGTCTTTCTATTTACATATCGATCTCCCCTACCTATCTATTTATTTGTCTATCTATCTATCTACCTATCTACCCACCCACCTATCTATGTACTATTTCTACCTATCTATCTATCTTCTACCTGCTGTTCACTTATGTCTGCTTATATATCTATCTAACTATCTTTCTTTCTATCCCCTTTATTTATTTATCTGTCTGATTATTTATCTATCTCCCAGTTAATCAACCCAATCTATTGATCTTACTTCGCTTTATCAACCTACCTACCTACCTACCTACCTACCTACCTACCTACCTACCTACCTACCTACCTACCTACCAATGTTTATCTATCTATCTATCTATCTATCTATCTATCTGTCTGTCTGTGAATCAAATCTCCCGCCCCGGTTCCCCGCGGTGGCTTGCCTGTCTGCTGAACTTCCTGCGCGGCGCAGCGGCACGCTTCAGCATCCCACCTCCGCCACTGGCTGCTGGACTTTTGCAGCAGGCGGCAGCCGCACCGGTTCCGGGGGCCTCGCCCCAACATCCTCGGCGCCCTTGCCCAACATCCTCGGCGCTCGAAGGGGTGGACCGCGCCCTGTCCGAACCCGGCTCCAACTCTGCCCCAGCTCCCCCTGGCCCGGCTTTGGGCTTCACGGATGGCCGCGTCCGCCGCGGACTGGCTAGCCTGGATCCGGTCGATGTTCAGACCCTCCTCCGTTTCCGGGTGCGCACTTTCCAGTGCCCCCCTGCGTTTGTTAAAGGCCAAGTCCGCCAAGCTTTCCCTCGCTTTGCAGGCAGTCCTGGAAGCGGGCGACCCCGACGCTTACCCTCTCGCAGCCTGGTTTAGGTCGCCTGGTCGCTCTGCAAAAGTCGTCTGGCCGTGTCCGGGGCATTGTCGTCAGTGACTTCTTCCGGCGGCTGGTCGCTCGGACCTTGGCTCAGCAACACGCCCGCGCTTTTCTTGAGGCGTGCCGCCCGCACCAGTTCGCCCTTTCCACCTGGGCTGGGGCGGACCCTCTCGTCCATGCCTTGGCTTCCGCCGTCAAGCTTGATCCTGAGGCTACAGTGCTTTCTGTGGATGGGGTGGGCTACAGTGCTTTCTGTGGATGGGGTGGGTGCCTTTGACACTGTGTCACGGCGGGCCATGCTGGAATCTGTCTATCTATTATTTCGTTTCTCTTCATCTATCTACCTATCAGTCTAGTATGTCGTATGTCTATCTATGTTTCTTATCTCCCTATTTTTCTTGTCTCTTTCTCTCTCTCTCTCTCTATCTCTCTCTCTCTCTCTGTAGCTACTTTCCAGATTTGTAGCTAACTATCTAATCTATTTGTCGGCTCCCGTTTACTTATCCCACTTCCTCTCTTTCTCCTCTCACTCTCTCGCTCTCTTTCCCTTCTATCTATCTATTTGTCTATCGACCTTGCGAAAGTGCTGAGCGCTGCGCCTGCCACGCAGACTGCACTTGACCAAACAAGTCCTGCTAAAAGCGCGCGTGTCCGTGCCAATGGGCCCGGCACCGAACGCGCCCCGAACACGCTCCTCGCGGTCAGGTTGACTTTGGGATGCCCAAAGCAGGTTGCGCTTTTTCCACATTTCGATTCCCCCGCCACGCACGCGCGCATATTCCCCCCGCGTGCTAATCATTTGTCTCAGAGAGCAGCTTTCCCCCAGTTGCCACACCACGGAAGTTCCTGCTATCATGTATGCATGGTATGCTGGGGTATTGTATGTCATGGTCATGTATGTAATGTGTGCATGGTGTGCGATTCTTGGGGCCGAAATGTGTAGGGAGTAGGAAGTGAAATCACTTTGGCCCCAAAAGACGCTAGCTCTTCACAGGTCACGAGATATCGACGTCAGATGGACTATCGTCGCAGCTGCGTGACAAGGCTCCCAAATGAGTGCGTTCGGAGACTGCAGGTTTCACGGCAAATTCTTTGGACCACCATGCACGTGTTCAGGGCAGGCGCAAGGAGATGCCGCTCTGGGCAAGAAGTATTTTCATTGCCTTTGCTTTGCCGTGATTTGATTCGAGCCTTGGCCAGACGCGAAAGCTTACCTGCTCTTGCCAACATGCATGCTAGTCGTTGTGAACAAGTTGTGTGTTTTTCGGTCGGTGTTGGGGGCGGGTTGGGGCGCTTATGAGGTGACTATGTTGGTGACCAAAGTGGAGTCAGCGTCACGGCGTCCAGCTTGCGTGCTCGCGTGGACCATGTTCGGTTGCAGGACTCGTCCCCTTTGCTCGGCCTTTTGATACGTCGGTCCAAAGGTCGGCATTGGGGGCATAGGCATTGGCCTTGCTTACATTTGTTTTGCATGTAATGTGGGAAGTGCTGACTGCATCCAAGCAGCCTGGACGCAGTGCAAGTTGCGCACCAGTTGGGCACAGATCAAGCACCATAAATGTGCGAAGCATCCGATTCATCCGTGAGCATGGGTTGGTTTGTTGCAGTTGTGACATGTTTCCGGATGCAACCCTGCGCAGGACGTCAGCGGTAGCCTTTTCCATGAATTTCGCAAAGCTGCTGACCAGGGCCTCACATCCTACTACCTCAACCAGAACATAAAGCTCATCCCGTTGCTTGGCAATAGTGCATCATGTCGCCAAGACGCGTCAACATGAGCGGTATTGCTAGCAGAGACCCTCGCAGGTTGTTTCTGCATTTTCTTGGGAACACATCAACTACGCCACAACACGGCTTGCAGGAAGTCAAGACAGAAGTCGAGCCAGTTGCTGTGCTAGTGGAAGCTGGCCCTTAGCCAGCCTTGAGACGATGACCGCTCCACCACCCTAACCCTACCCCAATCCTACGAACCCGAAGCTCGCCCTAAACCCACCACCCTACACCACTCTGAAATTTACCAATCCTAGAGAGGCCCTAAAGCAACGCTATCCAATTTTAATTTACCCAAATCCACACCGTCCCACTGGTAGACCAACCTTATGACGCCTACAACTCACCCAATCACCCCCGGATGGACAACCACATCCTCGGCTCTCTGTGCCAGGTTTTGGAGGCCATGGATGCTGGAACCTGATGGGCCAGCCTGGATTCGAAGTTGCCTGGACGAGCGCGGCTTCAAGCCTGAAATCTGCAAGGCAGGCAGCAAAGTGCAAATTATTGCGTGCAACACGTAAGTCACCCAGCAATGCCGCGCATGGCAAGCTGCACACCTCTTGGCATCGCAGGTCTATCACACAGCAATTCGGCTTGCAGAGCTGTTGCCGGTGAACTTGTTTCTTGATGTACCCAAAGGCCACTGCAGCATCAGCCCTGTCGCGCTTGGATGCTTGGTTTGAATGAGCTGCCGAGGCATACGCTGGTGTACAGGGCTGCAGTTTCTTTGAGCTGAAAGTTTCGTGGTGACAGCACTTGCGCCGCCGACATGCGGAGAAACAGGGCACAGAATCCATCACCAGGATGCATGATGAAAAACAGGGCGATTCTCTCCCAGCGGGTGTCCGATTCGAGATTCGAGGCTTTGCCTTTGGCGGATGTACAGCTGTGGGGACGCGCTGCCCGCACCTTGGTAGAGGCCACGCGCGATTCAGTGCTTGCAAGTTTGTTCTGCCGCCTGCACCAGGCGTCTGACCAGGTCGTGCGCCGAGATACACACACACACTCACACAGACGTATGTCACATAAGCATGTACATGGGAGGCTTGCGAGCAGTTTGCTTCTTTTACGCCGAGGTGTTTGCACTTTTGCTTGCAGATCTGGGTGGCTCAGGAGCCTTGAAGGATCGGATGAGCATCATCATGTTGAGCAAACGACCAAGCACGAAGGCAAGGGCATGCAAGAGCAATGCGCGCAGGTGTTAGCAGACTGGCTGAGGGCTACGCGGCTGTCCTTTGAATGGCTCAGTGCTTGGCCCTGCATTCCCACCTCATTGAATTTTTGTACCCGCAGCTGCAGAATCGTGCGGATCGTGCTCGAATTATCTTCGCTTGCGGCGCCCTTTGCCCAGGTTGGATACTGATGAAGCGGTGCCTTTACGGGCGCTGCGTCGACACACAGCCGGTGGCTAAGACGATTGCCACTTCCGGGAGGCGTCCGGATCTAGACCGAGGCCAGCCTTCTACGGATGACGGAGGCAGATCCTGGCGGAGGCTGCCAGGTTGCCCAGCAACTGGCAAGGCGGGCCATGTCAGAGGGGTGATGTGCGCGCAAGCCATTGCAGGAAGGCCTGTTCATGCTGCATATTACGCCTAATGAGGCTGTTCTGGGCTATCAAGTTGATAAGCTCGAAAAGCTACCCAATTGTGCTGTACCCTGAGGCGCACCAATTTGGCTAACTTGGGTCAGTATTGTAGAACAATGGGCAAAATGCCACCGGTATCAAGCTCACTTCAAGCGAGCTCGCTGGTCGAGCTTGGAGGTTGTTGCAATGGCTCAGCTGTGCAGGTGGGTTCGCTGCGATGCGGATGTGCAACCCATTCTTCAGCCTTTGCTGGACAGGCCCCTTGCACCGAGTTTTGGGGGTCTGGCAAAAGCACTTCTGAACGCAGGCTTTTGCCCCTGGCACTTATGCCGGATCCTCCTCAGCTACTGCCGTTGCTTGTGCGCCGAAGTTGTTTTTCTGCAGAGGGATTGGTTGCAAACGGTCAACAGCACCTGCCGTAGGCTGATTTGGCAGCTGATCGCTGGCCTCGTGCCTGTATCGAATCTCAGGCAAGCTGCTAAGATTTGCAACGAATTCTGCCGAATGCAGGGTGCCTTTGCACCAGGCAACAGGGCTGGACATTCTTGCCGTTGCAGATGCAACCTTGGCGCCTTTTCCTCGGACTTTTTCAGGGTTGGGCTTTTCTGTTCAAAATCAATCTGGCAGAATCCAGCCAAGCCGAGGTTTGTGCGATCGTCAGACACCATGGATGCAGAAGCTGCCAGGACCCTGTGAGATTGACTCGCACCCCTTTGCTTCAAGGGCATGCTTCCAATGGGGTCAAGCTTCGATTGGGTTCAGTGCATCACGGCTCCTTTCAAGGCCTTAGCTGTTTGGCAATCCTTCGCGGTGACCATGCTGAATGGCACTACGGACTGGGAGGACTTGCTGCAAAGTTTGCCGTTCCGCATGCTCCGCATGATTCCTCGCATTCCGCTAACCTTCACAGAGGATGAGGCCGAGCCAGGGATCGGCCGTCATGCCAACTGGTGGGCCGCTTTGGCGCAACCAGATTTTCATAGCTTGAGTGGGGAGTTCAGAGATTCGCAAGGTACCCATGGATCAAGCTGGTCTCCAAGTCTAGCTGGCACGGCTCTTTGGCATGTCACCGGTGCGGTAAGGTTCATGGGGCACCAGCGCTCCCACAACTCTTCAGCCGATTGGTGCAGGAGATCTTGAGGCCGAGCAAGCTGGAACGCCATGGATCCCACCTCGTGGCCATGTTGAATCTTCTGATCTCGGGGCACATGCGTGGTCCTCTTTGGCTGGGGATCCCTCAAACTATGCGAGGACTGAACGCCTTGGCCCGAAAGCCCGATCCCATTGATGTAGTTGGAATTGTCGCAGCGGAAACTTGGGGAGAGCCATCACCCGTTGCCGCTGAACCAGGTCTCATACCAATGAAGCACGAAACGAATAGAATCCAGTTTTCCCACGCTGGCAACTCATTGCCAAATCTGACTTCCTTTGTTCACCTGCATGTCCCGTGCACGAGTCCTTGCCGTCAGCGCAGGTTGATGAGGCTCTCAGCAGGCACTCTCACAAAAGAGTTGCAGGCAGGAGTTTCTGTGCAATTTTGAGCCACTTGAGGTGTATGATGTATGTGCTTAAGCAGTTCACTAAAATGACTGGAGACCCCACAGCTCTATGACACGCTTGCCGCGCCTCAAAATGCAGTAGGCACGTCTTGAAGCTCGCTCTGCGGCACAGAGTGCACTGGCTGCCTGGGCTGGCCTGGTAGGCAGTGGTACCAAGAACTCTTGGTGCTGCTTGTTCTGCACACTGCGGTATGAAAGTCCACCCTTGTTTCGATGCAGCTGACGCCACATCTCCAGGTGATTCTTCGGCCTGGTCTGCTGCTACGTGGGCTCCGCGATGACCTCGGATTCACGCAGGGGGAGTTGGTCGTGGCAACCGGCCTAACTCCATGTGGTCCAGTGGCGGCAGGCATCAGAAGGATGCTCATGACCCGGTCACAGAATTCTTCGTCAGTGCAGTCTTGCGCGCCGCGTTGAGGGGCGGCAAGGCAGGCTCTGTAGGGTAAGAGCCTCATAGAGGGTTCAGTTGCCTGTGCGAGGGAGGAGTCAGTCAGGCGCGCATCAGGTGTTGCCAAATGAAAGGGGAAGCAGTGACATCCTGTAGCAACATAGGTTGCAAGCCATTAGAAACATATATTGTAGGCATACGCACGTGTATACCCACATATGCGTGTCACAGTGTATGCATATATATATATAGGTATAAATCCATGTATAGACATATATGTATACAACTATGGCAGTTGGAGATTGAAGTAAGTGCATGCTGTCAAATATAGCAAGACTGTTGGGTAACGTGCAGTGATGCCAGGAAGCTGCTCATAGCTGCTCAATTGGAAGATCTGATGTGCGTAGCTGGCAATCCTCTATCTACAATGTTGTTTTTCTCTGTGGCTGTCATGTGAGCACTTTCTTAAGCGCACGGCGCTTGGTGAGGCTGCATCTTGTGGCGCGGCAGTTGGCAGTGAACAGTGTTCGCCTCAGATCATCAGGGGTTGTGCTTTCCCACTGTTATGTGCTTTGCCGTGCGATGTTGCAGGTCCGCAGGAAAGTCTGGCCCAAGAGGTAGAGGTCGTGTGGCCCCTGCGAGTAGTTATATGGATGCATTGACGTGTTTGTTTCTTCTCAACTGCTGCAACTTGCACATCGCTTTGGAGTGGCCAGGCTTTGGTTTTCTTTTACACTGGCAGCAAGCTGGCCTGAGCAAAATGCCCCGGCAGCAGCAGTAGCGGGGCACCTGGCGGTCTTCGCAACTGCTTGCTTGCCCACATGTGCCATCATGTGCCCAATCAAAACGACTTGCTCCCTCAATCCTCAATGTACCCAACATTGATCAGATGATCCGATGCCTTTGAGTCATTAGCTTGGTGTTGCAAGGTCCTTGAAATCAATGACCAGCTCGACTCCTTCCCGCCGACGTGGAGAGCTTTGCTGTGGATGCAGGCCAGAAAGCTGCTCATGATAAGCAGTCTTCTTGATTCCTTTCACAGCCAAATCCTTCTGCTGCATAGCCGTTTTCATGTCCCGTCATTTTCCACAACCTTTTGCCCTCAAGGATAGCAGGTAGTGACAACTATTAGAAGCAACCTGTCCCAAGCAAGCAAACCTAATCGTGTACAGTGACGTCACCATCGCCGTTCTCACAAGCCACTCGGGTGTACAAACTTGCAGACAGTGTGTTGCACACACACACACACGCAAACCCACACACACACATATTTATATATATGTATATGTATAGGTATGTAAGACTTTGAAGGCACAGTGCGCATACTGCCAACTGCAGATAAAATTGCTCAGGATAAAGCTGTGCCGTCGCCATGGCAACTGAGGGCGACTTTCGCAATTTCGAGGCTGTCTTCAGAATCAGGGGACTGTTGCCGCACTCAGCTGAGCTGGCACTTGCGCCAGCTACAGGTCCTGCAGCAGAACAAGGAAAAGCCAGCAGTCCTCGTGCTTGGCGGGACCAAGTTCATGGGCAAGGCTCTACTTTTTTGGAAGTAATGCTTGCAAGGGTGGTGGCCAAAGGCACTCGACTATTCACAAATGAAACGTTGTCTATTGGATCCGGAGCAAAGCAGCACACATTGCTAGGAGGGACATGGGTCGATGCCCGCAGTTGCCAACTCGAGCACGGAATGTCATTTGAGGGAGCCGCAATGAAGCACTCGGTGTTTGTCGTCTCAGTTTTGGGAGGCCTTCGTCCAGGAAATCCTGGAGCACGCTCGCAGCCAGTCTGCAGGGAAGGGAAGGCTGTGAGCATGGCCATGGGCCGTAAGCAACGGCCTAGCCTTCCACCGAACGGTGCTCTCACATCCCCTGACCAAAAGCTCAGGCGTTTGCGTGGTCAATCGTGGGAAGACTTATTGGGCAGCTTCTGATTTGTTTGTGCCTTGGCGCAGTCCATTTGCTCCGTTGGTGATAGCCTGGATTATTTGTGGTGCGGCGGATTGAAATGGTGTGACTGTAGGCAGCGCGTGCGGCCCGAGTTCGAGCGGATCGCGATGATGCTGAAGTCTTTGCCAAGTGCCTGAAAGAAGCAACGCAGCGCCTAGGCGGGAAACTCGATGTAAGCAAAGTTTGGTAATGCGAGGCGTTCGTGTTTCTGCCAGCTTGCTGCGTTGGAGCACGCCCGGTTCAGCCTTGTGCGGCCTGCAGGTGATGAGTGGGATTGCGTCGTGGATTTCTCTGGCTTTGCTGGTTGCCCGGCTTGCTTGATAGATTCTCAATGTGCGGGTTGAGTGACAAGCAAGTCATCAATCTTGTCAAATAGATGCCACACAGGCTCTACCTTGAATTTACCTTCACGATTAGTTCCAACATATTTCTGGACTTCTGAGGCAATGACGTGCGGGCTTCCCTGTCAGGCTTGGCTGGCGTGCCTCAGCTGCAATGTGCGAGCATACAGACGGGAAGCCACGCAAAAGAGGCCAAGTGGTTCTCGTGGCTTCTGTTCAGCAGGTTGAACCCTTGCAAATCGAGGCCTTCAAGATGTACATCTACATTTCCTCAGACTCCGTTTACGAGGCTTTCGCAGAAGCTCTGCGCTGACGTTGCACCCTTTTTGAGCTCAGGTGAGCTCGTGGGCTTTCGACAAATGGTCGCCGAGGCAGGGTGAAGCCAGAGACATGTCTTGGCCCCATGTCACATCATGTGGCCCTGTGGTCCCATGGTTGGGATCGGCCATTCAAGCTTACAATGGGCGAGCGTACATGCTCCTCCGCCGTGTTTACTTAGTTGGCGTCGGCCAAGTGGCGAATTGCAGGAGAAGGCGCGACGGTGGAGGATACCTGACTTCCGTTGCCGAAGATGCAGCGGTTCGACCTTGCGGAAAGGACAGGATATTCTTCTACGACCGCGGAGGGACCAGCTTCACTTGTTCTTAGATATGTTCATCTCTGTTCCTTCAGCATTATGTGGGTGGGGAAGCTGGTCTGGCCGCGGCACCTCCAAAGTGACTTTTTCAGGAGCAGCAAGACATTGTGAATAACAGCGACAACTATGGGCATGAAAAACTCGAGGGCGAGGAAGTTTTGCTGCAGGACTACCTTGACAAACCCTTGTTGCTTTGATTGACATGTCAGATGCTGCATCATATCTGAGGCTATTGACAGTGAAATCAGATGCATTGACCTGCTAGGAACGACCTGCTGGGCGAAGGTGTGTGATTCTACGCCTTCCTGATGTAATTGGCCCCTTTGATTCAACGTGCGCTGGAAGCATTATTGGTATTGGTTGTCGGCATTCAGGTGTGCTGGCTGCCACATCACCTCATGCCTGCTGCAATGCCTACACCCTTCATGCTGCATCAAACCAGCTCTGCCGCTTCCAAACCAGCCGGCAGAGAACAAAATCGGAATTCACCAAGATCCTGAAGTGCGACGTTGGCAAAACTTTTGGGCTTGCCTTTGAAATATTTTGAAATGCACTGCTTAACTCAACGCAAGGCATCGTCTTTGGGCATACTGGCACTGGCTGCGCGCGGGTGAGCTGGGAGCTCCAGCGCCGCAAGTCCAGAGCTACAAGCGCAAGAGGAGTGCCAAGCAGCTGGCTGTTGTTCCAGTGCTTCAAATTGTGTGGCCCATCTTTAGGGATTTTCCGCATGTAGCAGCAAGCCCTTATGAATGTCAGGAAACAAATTGACGCCACAGGTGAAGAAGTTGCGCAGGCACGGCAAACTGATGCAGTTGCACCACTCTGCATGGAGGGCTGAGTGTGATACCCCTTGCGATCATTCAAGTTTGGTTGATGTCTGGCTGGTGGGAGGCACCTGGCGATTGTCACCTGGCGGTTGTGTACAGCCTGGACGTGGCTAAGTCTGGTGGCTGCATCGCTTTTGAGCCCTACTTCCTCACTGCCCGGGCCAATTCCCGTCACTCCAAGGTTTTTGGCACGCTTGGTGAAGCAGCCCCCTCCTGCGGAAGTTGATGTCCTCAATCTTTCTTGCACCGACCTTTGCTGTAAGTCTGCACCATATGCTGTCTGTCCCTCAGCAAGCTGTCCAAAGCACCTGCCAATCAAGGTGATGAGCATCTTTTGCTAAGCGACTTTCTGGAGCGCCTTTTCAAGGTATCAGGCGGCAATCGCAAACGGCCCCGATTAGCTCCAGACAAAGATCCGCCCCTTGGTGTGCATCAGCGCCGATTGAGAGGCACCCTGGCGCTTTTGAACGAAGCAGTGCATGCGTGTCCTGCATCAAGAATCAACTTCAACTTTGTATCCCCGGGATCCCCCGGGCTGCCTGAAGTTGGAGGAGAGTGCCGGGGTCATACTAAACGGCCGGCCACAAAGGTTCAAAACCTTGGCTGCTACTTGGTATTCCTCTCTCCTGCCAGCAGCATATGGTGTAACTGGATTCCCTGGTCCCACACAAAACAATCTCAATCAACAGCGAAGTTCCAGAATGGCAGGAGCCAGATGATGAACATACATTGAGGCCCTTCCACAGAAAGCCTGCAGGAACCGGCATTGTGCCATCTGAGGAAATTGTTCCTTCCCAGCGTGAACAGGCCTTGGCCACTTAGCTGCGAGCGAGCCAAGGAGGCGCATTGCAAAGCGAACGTATGTGCTGCAACAGCCAGGGCTTGGGGTTATGGCTGTTTACTGCTTTTCTAAGCTGGCGCGTGCTAAGCTAAGCCGCTATGGCAGGCATACGGTTTTGTGGCGACCTCCTTGGACGAAGTGTTGCGGGTCTGCGTAGACTTCTTTGAGTCCAACTGCGCGGCTGGGATCGGATCAGTCTCGGCCCCATGTGCAACATGCTTGGCGCGTCACGAGGCTCGCTTCCCAGAAGAGGCGAAAAAGGCAGCGATGAAACTGCCGTCAGAGCCGGCGGCATATGCCTTGAAGCTTTTAGAGCCGACTTGCGAACCAAAGTGAGAAGCCAGCAGGATGCTTAGACAAGTTTAGATGCCAAAGGTGCTTCGCGCTTGAAAAAATGCCGCCGCTTGTACCTTTTGCTACGCGGCGCTCACATGAATCCCATAGAAGGCAAAGTGCCAGATGGCTGGATAGCGCTGGTTCAGATGCAAGCGTTTTGTAGCCTGACCCAACCCCTTGCCGAATTCAACCAGGCTTGCTGCCTGGCATCGACGGCACCTCCACAGCTTTGCCCGAGGCAGGGTCAATCTGAACGCAGCAATGGCTCCAGTTCACTGCATGGCCCCAAAACCATGCCGAGCCCTTGAGCTGTTTTCTTCCAACGACCCTGCCGTGCCAGTGATGTAGTCCAGTTTGAGCCTCAGTGACGCAGGTGATGCAACTGCGAACTTTCTTGCAGTTTCTTGTCAAACAGGACGGCCGGTTGCTGCAGGTAGAAGTGCTGCGATGGTGATGGCTGGCGCTGCGTTTGTGTAGGTGTTCACACAGTCTCTGTCTTGTCTTTTTTGTGATGGTTTCGTGTTGTTCAGTTCCGCCTGTCCTTGCGGTAATGGTCTTCTCGTACCTGAGCAGTGTGCCCATAGACTTCCTGTAGTAGTCTTCCCGTAGTCCTACAAAGTCTTCCCAAGTTTCCCGTAAGTCTTCCAATTATCTTGCGGGCTGGTGGACTAGCGCGCAATTTTGCGAGAATGGACATCTTTTCGTCTGGGTCAAAATGGTGGTGGTGCTGGTTACGATCATCTTAGTCCGGACAAGCGTGGCATCAATCCTTAGAAGCCGGGAAAGTTGTGTTTTGGTTGTGTCTTGACTGTGATGGTATATGGTGGTGATGCTGGTGGTGACACTCGATTCGGCCATATTCCACATGCAGCCGGCTTTCCGCATCTTCCCAGAGTCCTCTCATTGATTTTCGTTCCCGGTTAGTTCCTTAAGCTTAGCTAATTACCGTTGGCAAAGGTGAGTCAAGGTGAGTTTAACGTTAGCCAAGTTCAGTTGAGGTTAGTTTCGAGTGCTTGAGGGGGTACGTCAAATTTGGCAGGCTCATCGAGTGGATGTTGCAGCGCCCGCCACATGTGGCTGGGGCAAATGCCTGGCACCGAGATCCACAGTCGACGTGCTGCGCTTTGGCGGATGAAACAAAAATGATCAAAAATGCGACAGGAACTCCTGGAGATCACAGAGCTACCTTACGCGCAGCTCGCTCAGTTGATAGTTCTAAATCACCAGCTGCAGCCCTCAGGAAGACATGCAAACAAGAGCATTGCAGGCGAGTCCCGATCCGAACACGTAGATGTTCTTTTTTACCCTGTTTGCCATCTTCGAAAGCTGCGGGATTGGGTGAGCCAAGGTGCAGCTTGGAAATGGCCTGCCGGCAACTGGGCAATATCACCAGCGAGGCGGCTGCAGAGAGGTTGTTGAGCCTCGCCTTTGAGGCGCGCATCGCGCATCGCGTCTCGTGAACCCCGCAGCGAATCGCATGATGAGCGATTCAGGTCCCCGTGGAGCACTTGCATCCCCATAGCGCAGATGCAAAGGCAGCTTGGACCGAGCACGCGCAAAGTGCGTTGAGGTATTGTCAGGTTAGGAGCGTACATGCGGCATGTGGACCTGTCAAAAGATGGTGTGGAGCATTGCCAGGCTCGAATTCTACGTGCTGTCAGGCATGTGGCGGGCCTGAGCAAGCTTGTTGCGTGATTTTTTTGGGCTCAGCGTGTCCAGCTGCTGTCCTAGGTCGTTGGTGACAACACCAAGAGGCTATGTGACGTATTTGGCCAACGAATTCTGCCGAGCCTGCAATTTATTGTAAGCAATGTTGGTCGCGGTGGCCACCTCATTTTCCGGCTGCCTAGCTTGACTTGTACCGTGGTTCGCGCTTCCTCCTGGCTTTGTCCAGTCTTACTGTACATCTCGGTATCGCATTGGCAAAGCCAGGCCGGGCCTGTGGCGCGCATCTCAGGCAGGCAGCGCCTGTCAAGAACCATTGCCCACCCCTCCCCCTTAAACACTTGTCGAACGTGCGAGCATGGCCAAGCCAAGAGTTGCCAAGATTTGCTCAGCTTCCCCCACCAAGATGGCTGAGAGCATTCCGAGAAGTCACAGTGCACCAGCCCGCGCTGGATAGAGGAGCGTCCATCCGCGCCAGGCCGAGGGCCAAACCGGTCATTTGGCCATGCACGGAGCTGAGGTTAACCTCAGCCCATCAATTAGCGAACTTGGATATGTGTAAGATAAGTTCCTGATGTAGGGCCGCTGAGGCGCGTGCTGATCGCAATTCTACATTCAGTCCTTGCCAGTTCCAGAGCGCTCCTTAGCTTCTAGCTGCAGGAGCTGAAGGGATCCACAGTCATCCTAGCCTCGTCATGGCATCGCAGTGCTCGCCAATCGGGGCAGGCACAGGCCACCATGGTCCTGAACATCCCGTGATCCTGCTGTGGCAGGAATATGGTCAGTGCTTGGCGCACTTGGCCTGTTAGCCAGAACCTCGCATGGCATGTGCACGGCTGCAGTTTGGCAAGCTTCCAAAGGCCTTTGCCGTCCGAATTGGGCTGACAAGCTTTGCACCGCAGCCGCTTCTTGCCACTGGAGAATACATGGACGTGAGGGAAACTCGCATCAACGAGAGCGCCCCGGGCCACTGGCCACAGACAAAAGCGCCAGCCACAACCCAGCCATACCCCAGCCAGAGCCAGCCAACGTGCCGACACACTCAGCTGCACCTCGCCAATGCCACGGGGGAAAGCGCCGCCGCCTCCAAAGGCTGCAGGGAAATCACCCGCTCGGCCCCCAGACCGGTAACCTTTGCTCGGGACAGGGAGGAATGGATTTGATATCTTTTGATACTTCTTTGCTTCTTCCATGAGAAACATCCGATGTGACAGCGACAGGCAGGGCAGGGGCTGGCAGATAGGGCTGGCGTTTGCATGAGTCAAACCAGGCAAAGAAGTGGTCCGAGCTGCCCAAGGCCGTTTCTTCTTTTTTTTTGTGGGGGGGGGGGGGGTGAGTGGTTGAGGGGTGGGGGTGGGCCGGCAGAAAGTAGTTGTTTGACATTGTTTGACGGCAGTGTGCCCATGTTGCACTGCGGGGGCGTCTCGAGATGTTGCCCACGCTGTGGCCGAGCTCAGGCAAAAGTCGTTGATCGCCGACTGTCTTTCGATGTCATTCGGCAGCCGCTCAGCTGAAGTGAGGGCGGAGCTCGAAGCTGCTACCAGTGACCGGCAGGCGTTGTTATGTCCGCGCTCAACAGCGCAAGTCTGTTCGGTCTAGCCTGGCATAGCCCGGCTATTTGTACCTCCGGCCTTGACCTGGGCAATTGAGGTGGCGGACCACAGGTGGAAGCAACAATTTGACCTGTTTGGACTGGACATCTATAGATTCGTTGGTTTATGCTTCAGGAGGCAGGGTGAGTGCATGCTTCGGCTTTCAAGGCTTTCTGGTTTGAGACCGCATGTGCCGCAGCCATTGAGGCAGTGGTGGTGTCGTGCTGGTTCGCTTCCAGGGCGAATCGCAGATATGCTGCGTCAAGCCTCAGCGTCTTGAGGCCAAAGGAGAGCTGCTTTTTGGCAGCAGGGCGCTTGCACGGAATGCACAACTAGGTTTGGCTCTCACTTACAGTGCGAACTGTGCGAGTTCTGTGGACCCAGTGGATCGAGCGGGTGTGTTAAGAAGCATCAGGTGCGCCAGCCTCTTAGCTGATGCACTTGATGTTGCAACTGCAAGATTGCGCATTTTGCCGGTGACTCCCGAGCTGGTAGAAGCTTTCAGCTTCTTGGCCAGAAGGCACAAACGCACAGATGCGCACACAGCGCATTGTTTGCATTACTGTAGGTGATAAATTCTTGAGCACCACTTATCCAAGGAAACGCAAAGCTGGAGATTGAGGACCACCGCGTCCACATGGATACTCAGCTGGCCAGCTTATGACAGATTTGTCAATTTCTCACGAAAACAAGTCCAAAAGATAAAACGTTTGAAGCATGCCTATGCTGCGTCCTGCCCATGCTGCGTCCAGCCCCCGCAAATTGCAAGGAAAAGAAGATTCTAGCAGATGCCAAGCACTTGGGTATTCTCGAGTTCGTCCACGGCCCTACCATGGAAGGGCAGGCGCGGAGGGTGGTCCAATGCTGCTTCACTTGTCAGCAGGCGTCGGCCATCCCTGCACTGCAGGACTTTGTCGACATCTTCCAGGGTCAGGGTCAAGACTGGTTGGAGCAGTTCTGGATCGAAGCTGGACGCTTGACTGCGTGTCTCGTCTGGCACAGTATGGCAAACAGATGCAAACAGTTGGCATGCATTTTTCAACAATGATGTTGTGCTGCCTTTGAGGTTTGACTGTTTGATCAACAATTTGGACCGCCTTCCCATAATTTGGGACAATGATGGAAATCTCAAGTGACTTGGCGCTCAATGCTCACCTGTGGCAGTTTCCCCTTTTGCTGTCGCCGTGCAAGAATTGGCAGCTGAGAGACCCGCGAATTCATGGCCAAAATGCTCAGGAATCTGATGGTTGAAGTTTCCGAGACAGGAATGCCTCGGGTCGTTGGCATTGACCAAGCAGCGACTCAGCTTGCAACAGAGAGTGCAAATACGGTGTTTTATAGGATGGTGGCATGTCGGCGCTTCTTTGGTTGGGGTCGTGCTTCCAGGTTCGCGGCATCAGTTCTGAACCTGGTTTGGCAAAGTACGTGCAGTCTGTGCGGGAGCTCGTCCGTGCTACAGGCAACACTGGATGGCCTCAAAGCCGATATGTTCGCCGACTGGAGCAAGTTGTGCAGGAGAGCTGCGTGTCATATATGAGTTCAGGCGACTCATTCAAGCAGATGCAAGTTTCCCACGTATTGAGTCAGCCGAAGATGGGGTCTAGCATCCCTGCCAGCGCCCTTCTTCAGAGGACAACTTCCAAGGCAAGTTCACAGTGCACGTGCAGGGTCTACAGCGCGGCCTCCAGCAGGCTCGCTCCGGGACGGAAAATGCGTGCAGAGAGCAGAGCCTGTCACGACAGGGCTTCCGTCGGTTTGCCTGGCAATGGTCCAGCCAAATGCTGGGCAACCACATCGAGGAAGCCCTCACAGAGGCTGGTGCCATTTCCACTGGGTCATTTGTGTGTGTGGATATATATATATACATATGTGTGTGTGTGTCATGTTTTTCCCTATGACACAGGTGGCAGCTGTGTTCGACTGCACTGCGGCCGAGCTTTGGCTGCTGCGGCGTCAGTTGCAGGATTCGGCTTCAGCCGTTGCAGAATCTCAGCTGCATAGGCGAGAACAGGCAAGATGGGGAGAGACACAAGGCTTTGCACTCTTGACAGAAGCGCGCAAGCTTCAGCAGGATAGACACTTGCCACATTTCGGAGGAAGAAGTGGAGAAGATGGAGATGCATCAGGTGCCGCCTCCAATTCTCGCAACATTCAGCCTCTTAGTTGAACTTGTCGGATCTTGATCAAGTCTTGAGGGTGCTGGCTACTAGCGGTAATCCAAGGAAAGCTGCTCCCCCTTGGCCATTTGACAAAAGATCAACTGGCAAAGTTGCTGCACGAGCTGGATCCGCAATGTTCAATGCTTGCTGACATATTCCTCGAGCATTTCCAAGAAGACAGAATCGATTGTCGGGAGCTCAGCAGGGGAACGCCGAATATCAATGAATGTCAGCCCCCTTCAGATAATGGGGAGACAACTCGCTGCTAAAACTCAGGAAAATCATTCTGATTCTTGGGCACTGGGGGTCGTACAGTTCGGGCGCTTGTGGCCATACAGTACTTGCGGCCAACTTTGCGAAGGGTGGGTATGAACCCTTTCCGGAAGATTTGGAAGGACATTGCGTAGGGCAAAGCCATCCTTTGCCCAAATCATATCCATCAAGAACCTAAGAACTTGTGCTGACATGTTCTTTGCTTGCTTTTAGGCTGGCAATTGTCTAGTTTATTGCTTGGGGGCAAGGGTGGCGAGAACGTCATGAGTGCCAAGAGTTTGGCAGTTGCAATCAATGGTGCGCCTGAATTTTGTCATGGTCAGCATGCATCATAGTTCAAATCATCTTTGCGCTCGCATCACGCTGCGTGCGCTCTGAACCAAAATGCGTAGCATGCGACTGCCTTATCGAGGTTCTGACTTTCTGCTGTTCCTTGCTGGACCTGGAGAACGCAGCCAATGAACTTGTACAAACAAACTGTACAGACATTGCCCAAGACACTGCCCGCAGCTTGCCGAAGCTGGCAGGACAGCGGCTAGGTGCAGTTAACTTGGTGCCGTTGTGTATGCATTCTTGTCCTAGCTACTGCGCGCAAGACACCAGTCATGGCGCTTAGTGCGGCTGCACCTGCTTGCAAAGCAAGCGGCCTGCTTAGAGAGTCGAGCGTGCGTGACCCAGCACCCCAAAACAGCGAGCGCAGAAAACTTGTTTGTTTTTTGGGCAAGCGCCGCTTTAAGTACTCATACGTGACAGGAAGCTCCGCTGCTCCAGCTGCAGTGCAACATTGCTTCAATCTGAGCAAGCTCTTGAATACGAGTCGTTTGTGAAAGGGAGACTTGGGCTTTCCAGGCATCGGACGGGCAGGAGCAGCCGCTGGCGGCGGCAGTCGAGGCGCGGTGCACGCCCATGTTGAGGTATTCTATGGCTGGGACAAAATCCACTACCCCTGGTGAACATCAAAATAGGTGGCAAACGGATGTTCATCCACCCCAAAATGGAGCCATAGGCTATGACCTGCAAGGCGGTTTGAAGTCTTGGCACACGTGGATGCCATCCGTGAACTTGTGTGCCCCGCCCCGCCCAAACAATTCACTGAGTCGTGCCTTCAGCTCCAGACATTTGTGGGGCACAGCAGCGGCTTTGAGCTTCAAGCGGCTACATCATGGGACCAGTCTCACTTGCGCATGCCTCCAACGACTCACTTGCGCACACCAGGCATCCTGGTACTTAGCCAATAGTAACAGTCCTCCAAAACTTACTTGCACAAACCTCTGACGGCTCACTTGCACGCACCAGGCTCACTTGCGCACACTGCAGGGCTTAGTTGCACACCCCCAAGTAATACTGGCGGGATGAGGCACGCGAGGGTTGGTTTGTGGGGGAAGGTGATAAGAACACAAACAACGGCAAAACAATCACCTTGATGAGGGGGGGCCTGCAACACCAACTGCTTTATGGTGGGTGGGGGGGTGGGAGGGAGAAGGTGGGGGGCTGCGACATCAACTGCTCGGCGGCGGCTTTCTGGGAGAAGCGACAGTATCTTACCCGATTAAGCACGCAAAATCTTGAGGAGTCTTAGCCATTCAAAGTCTTTGCTTGGAAGTGTCATCCTGGAAGCTGTTTTGTGCCCAGCAAGGGAACTGTGGTTTCTGCTAGAACTGAAAGTATTACGTTGCAGTAACTGCTGAAAACCGCCCAGAAGATTAGCCCGACAAGACTTTTCGTTATTAGGGGGATTCCGTTTGAGTCGTGGGCGGAAGGCATTCTCGCTGCACAGTTGAAGGTTGTCAGATCACATGCGCACACATGGATTCTGCAAGCAATCTGATACCCCCCAACTCCAGCGTGTACAAGCGAGTCACACGCGGCGTGTACAAGCGAGGCGCTTTCCCTATATCACTACGTAGTAACTGTTGGAAAGGTTCACACAAAACCCTGAAAAAAAGCAAGCTCAGGTGATATCCCCAACAGCATGCGGTGCTCTGTTTAGTGCTCGCACCACCCCGCAGCCCTCGCAGAACCTCGTGGAACCCTGGTGGAACCTTGGTGGAACCCTCGTGGAACATTACCTCAGGGCCACTCCGGACCACCGCGGAGTCGCATGGCAACCTTTGCAATTCTGCAAGCATTATCACGAGGAACCACAGTATTCAACGATGTTTTTCCCCCAACATCTGAAAGCTTTGTGGTCTCAGCGCAATCAAATACGGGGCAGTCCACAGTGCCTCTTGAGACCTTTATTTGCGAAAGGCATAAATCAAAGCTGTTTGACATGTGTGATGCAACGCTGCAGCATGCGGTCTTTTCCTTTTTCATTCCAAGGTTTCATTCAAGAGCGCAAGATTGACATCTTGCGGTTTCTGGAGAGGTTGTCCTTAATTTTGCATGTCACTTGGTTCACAGTGCTAAGCGGTAAATACTCTGTATCCAACGCTGCTTGTCGCTGGCAGAATTGAAAACTATTGCCTCGCAGCTCGTTTTCCGGCAAGCGGAGACTTGAAGCTTCTTTGCCTGCAGGTCCTTGCTGCGGCCAGGCGCTTGGAGTGCGGTTGCAAGGGCCGCACACTTGCTAGAGTTGCTGCCAAAGCAAGCGGGATGCCAAACGCACTGCCTCACACGCAGAAGCGGAGGAGGATGTTTAATTGGTTCATTCCCGGTTCCAATTAGAAGAGAGGTCGGGTTCAGGATGTTCAGGTTTGTTAGGGTTAAGGGTTCAGGTGTGTGTCTTGACTCGGGGTCTGCAGGGCATAGGCTGTGTAGGACCGTAGTTAGGGCTTCGGATTGCTCAATGATGGGAATTCGATGCGCAGTTGCGCCGAGGCTTGTGCTGAGCCGGTTTTGCTGCACCAGGCTTGTGAAAACAGCAGGGATGTGACACATGCAGATGCATGTAATGGATCATGAATGCCCGGGGCCACTTTCTGTGATTGGTTGGTTGGCTGGCTGACTTGATTGATTGACTGTCTGATTTGATTTCGTTTGACTGGCTTTGATTGACTGGTCAGTTGGTGGGTTGGTCGATTGGTCGATTGGTTGGTTGGTTGGTTGGTTGGTTGGTTGGTTGGGTCGTTGGGTGCGGTGGATTGGTTGATTGGCTGGTTGGTTTGGTTGGTTTGGTTGATTTGGTTGATTGACTGATTGACTGACCGATTGATTAATTGATTGGTTGATTCATTGATTGGTTGATCGGTTGGCTCCTTTTGTTTTGGCTTTACTGTTTCATTGTTTTCCTTAGTTGTTTATTTGGTTCCCCGTTTCTGCTTGTTGGCCCATTGGCCGTTTGTTTGGTTGTTTCTTTGTTTGTGTATTAGTTGTCCGTTTGCTCGTTTGTTTGCAAGCTCTTTTTGTTTGTTTGTTTGCTTGCTTGTTTGTTTTGTGGTTTTGTGGTTTGTTTGTTTGTTTGTTTGTTTGTTTGTTTGTCTGTCTGTCTGTCTGTCTGTCTGTCTGTCTGTCTGTCTGTCTTGTTTGCTTGCTTGCTTGCTTGCTTGTTTGTTTTGTGGTTTGTTTGTTTGTCTGTCTGTCTGTCTGTCTGTCTTGTTTGCTTGCTTGCTTGCTTGCTTGTTTGTTTTCTGGTTTGTTTGTTTTGTGGTTTGTTTGTTTTGTGGTTTGTTTGTCTGTCTGTCTGTCTGTGTCTGTCTGTGTCTGTCTGTGTCTGTCTGTGTCTGTCTGTGTCTGTCTGTGTCTGTCTGTCTGTCTGTTTGTCTTTTTGTTTGTTGTGTGTTGTTCATAAGTGTGGCATGTTTGGATGGTTGTTCCCAGATAGCTGAAAGTTATAGGGGTTCTAACTTCTAATAAAGAGGGGAAAATGATTTGCGAGATTGACGGCTGGGTGCTAGGGAGCATGCAGTCTGTGGTGCTGGTGCAGGTGCGGTTTGGAGCGCTGGTGACGTGTGCGCATTTTTGCAGCAGCTTGGGGGCTGGTGCAGGTGCTCTTTTGGGTTGCTGGTGACGGTGCGGGCACAGGTTTGCAACATTGACGGCAGGGTGCTAGGGCATGCAGCTCTGGTGCTGGTGCAGCTCTTTTGGGGTGCTGGTGACGGTGCGGGCGCATGTTTGCAACATTGACGACAGGATGCTAGGGCGCATGCAATTTGGGGTGCTCGTGCTGGTGAAGTTTGGGGGAGGGGGGGCGGGGGGGTGGTGGCCGGGTGCTCAGGGGGTGCTGTTTCGCTCTTCGGACGGTGCTGTTATTAGAGGTGCTGCTGGTGTGCAGTCATCGGCCTGTTTTTCGCTATCTGGGGTGTATGCTGGTGTATTTTGGTTTTGATATTGGTATATAGTTGTTGGCTGCTGCTGTTGTTGTGGTTGCTGTTGCCATTGCCGTTGCCGTCGTTGTTGCTGTCGTTGTCGTCGTTGTCCCGTCCTCGTTGGCGTCGTCGTCGTCGGTGGAGGTGGTTGTGTTTGCGTTGTTGAGCCTAGTTCTTGAGCCAACGCAGCTAGCATGATATGGGCAGAGCCGTCTTTTCCGTCGAAAGCCCTTGCGGTGAGCTCTTAAAACCACAGGCGCTGCAGCTGCTGCTACGGACTGCGCAAATTCGTGGTGCAGTTGGCGCAGAGGCAGCTGACCGAAGAAAGTATCGATTCATTACTTTGGACAGTGGCTTGGACTAGCTTGGGGAGCTACGATTGCGGCAAGGAGTTCTTGATGGATATCAGGGAGACGTGGCTGAAAGTCGCAAGTGGAGCCAGGCTTGCTTGAAAGCGCTGGAGCACGTGCTGCCAAATCTGCCAGATGCTTAATGTCGCTGATCCACCATCCCACCCCGACTCCACCCCGAGTATTTCCGTTCGTGGCAGCTTCCTTGGCGCGCTTCCAGTGGCTTCGCAGGCCATGCCCTCCCCTAGGGCAATCAGCTGCAGATGCCGTGGCCCGTGTAGCGCATGAGATGTCTGAGGCGGGCTTTTGCACATGGCTTTGCCGAGCGTCGGCTTTTCACGCCAGACTGTGAGAGACAGCACGCTCCGCCAATTGCGTCCTGGAACCTGATGCAATTGAGATGTCGTGAAATTGCATGGCGTTTCCTGGTGATATGTGCTGATTGTCACATCGCGCCGTTGCAGGTCGTCCTGTCAAGCATTGAATTGCTGCAAAACCCGGCTGTGGTGAAGGCCGTATGTTGTGGCAAATGCGCTGGGCAATGCATGGCATTTTGAGGCTAGGAGCACCTCTGCCTATGTGGCATGGCATCAGCCTGTAACTCTCGCAGGCACTGTATTCTCTCTGGAACCGCAGCCTTGTACTGGCAGGCAAGCCAGGATGTGGAGGCTGGGCACTTCAAAGTACTCGTAGGGCACTTCGGTGATGATCCCAAAGTTTGCAGCTGCCACGGCTGCGACAAAAATATGGTTGTAAGCTAATTATTGGGGAGCTTTTGGATAGTGGCAACGAGAAGGCAATGGCTCCCAAGACTTCGCCACGATGTTGTTAAGCTTGTTCGACGCTCTTATGCGGATTCGCCGTCGCCGTGACCTACGTTGTTGGGAGTGAGTGGAATGCTGGTTTGCGTGACCTTGTAGATGACTGGTCACAAGAGCGGGCGGTTTGCTTGAAAAAAACCAACTTCTGAAACACATATCCCTACGATCAAAAAAGTCTTTGACCTTGAATTTGCACTCCTGTTCAAAGCGCGGCTCAGAGCAATTCGCCGCTCGCCGAGAATTTGAGTGCAGATGTCGCAAGCCCTCTCAACCACAACCCCATTGTGCCTTAGGAGCCGCGCTCCTTCAGGTCGGCTACGATCTGCTTTCCTCGGCAAGACGCAGCTGGGAGCCTTTGGAGCGTGAGGCTTGGTGCGACTTGAGCACAGCCGAGGCTCGTGGAGAGGATGCTGGGCATTCTGCACACTACGCTGCCAGGCCTCCTCGCAGGAAAGCAGCAAATTCACAGGCAAATCCCAAACCCACCAGGTGGCAAGCAAGTCCAAGCCCGACCTGTCTCGATTGCATTCTGTTGACATCACAGGGCTTTGGCATTTGTCAAGAGCTCTTACTGTTCATCTCCTGCGAATGCTCATTGTGTTCCATTTGGCTGGCATTGCGTGAGCTCCAGTCTTTGCTGCTGATGTGCTGCTGCGGTGGCTGTCATTGCTTCTTCCGCGAGTGATATCCTCAGTTGGCATGTAGCCCCAAGCAATCAATCAAGAGCTTGGGCAGGGAGCTTCCGAATCCTGGATTTTGAGGCAGACGCCGGCACCAGCCCAGACGTGCTAGCTGTGCTGCGCCAGGCAGTGATGGTGTTGTGTGCTACAAGTAGCCTTGGCCTTTACGTATACCACTCGGAAAAATGCTTTATGACCAAATTCATCGTGTAGCGGCTTTTGCGCAACTTCACACACACTTCACATTGCGCTGCTAGCACTGGACGGGGTTCTGGACATTCCATGAGAGCCGCGACGCTTATCGTTGTTTTGCTACGTAGCGTGGAAGCGCTGGGAGACAGGAATCTGTTGGACAGCCATGAAGGCCATGGGAGAACTTGGCGCTCAAAGCTGTGGATTGCAAAAGGGTCGGTTTCAACCTGGGTGGCAAATCCGCTGTTCTCCTTCCTGCTAGCCGGTGCCAAGCGAGCCTCGGCAGGGCGAGGTTGAGCTTGATACTCATGTTTTTTGGTGCCCACTGCTCATGTTTTTTGGATGCCTCCATGGTGCAGGCACTGCCTGTGCTCTGTGGGTCCATCTGCAGGTGTTTGTCTGAACAGGCTGGATTGGTGCATGCCTGCCTCATCTCCTTTGCATGTCGCGATGGCACTGGCGCAAAGCATCGCAAAGCCCTTCCGAATTGAGTGGCGCTTGCCTGTCGGCGTGTCTGCGCAGGAGGGCTTGACAAAGTGGGCCGCAGCCTCAGTGCACTGCCTGACGGTTGCCTGGCGTTGCACAGCAGATGTCAGCAGCAAGCGGCTCCCCGCTTGACAGAATTCTACTAGGTGTTGTTAAGTTGAGTTGTTTATCCCGATCTTGAAGCTTCTTGTTGACGCCTTGGCAAAGAATAAAACGGCGGCCAAGCGTCCGGCAATGAAGGGGCGCAAGGAGTGGGCCACCCATCGGGCAAAATAGACGTAGATGTACTTGTGAGCCCGAGCTCACGGTTGTATGCTGTGTGGATGAAGTAGTCCCAAATGATGTTGAACAGAAACATGGACTTGCCGAAACTGAACGTGTCAATCGGGCGGCCCTCACAACACAGCATGCGACAAACAATGCAATGATATACGTGATGTATCGGACACTCCGCCACCAGTTCCCGCAACATGCAGGGCATGAGCCGTGCTGGAACCACTGAGGCAACTCTTATCTTGTTTTTAGAAATACTCAAGCCCCCTCCCCCATGCAGAGCATGTGATGCTTGGGTTTTTAGACACAGAAGCAATTCGGGAGCAGAACAGGGATGGACGGGGAGGAGGTTCAAGTGATCTATCGGCCAGGCAAGAGCCAAAAGATCGCCCACGCCCACCCCGCATTCTACTTGTAACAGCGCTGGGATAGCTGAATTGGCCTTGTTCTTGATAGTATTTTCCTTGTCGGGGTGGGGGGTAAATGATCCCTCGGGGGCCACAACCAAAGTTGAAAGATTGCTTGGGTGACACCTTGTGGCTTGAGATGGCGTTTAGGATAGTGGCTTTCTGGATGCTGCAGAGTTCCTATTCCTGGCAGCGGTCTGGCTCTCAGTTGCTGAATGTATCATCTACCTGCATGGAGCTTCCTGAGTGTCAGTTGCACCCAGGATGTGTTCAGAGAAGATTTCCCGGCGGCGCTATCAGCAGGCCAATGTAACAGCCGCACATGCTGACACATGCGGCGAAGATGTGACAGGTGTTCAATCAGTTGACTGCCTGCGGGGCACTCATTGCTGCTAGACTGTGCTGGACTTTCCGGCTGCAAGATTTGCAGCCGCCCCTTGGCTTTCAGACCGAGGCCGCGTTGGAGCCAAGCACAACTTCAGCAGCACATTGAGCGTCGCCTGTGGCTTTGACCCGTGCCGTCGACTTCCTTCGGGCCACTGACGCGGCCGTATGCTAAGGCCAGCAATGGCCCACCCGCTCAGCCTGGATCAGTGCCTTGGCAGGTTCAAAGGCGGCTACAACAATTCCCGGGTCTCCAATTGACGCACGTTTCCCAACAGCGGCTCGCTGCTCATTTTGGCACCCCACGGGTTCTGGGTGTCATCGGGTTCCCCAATCACTCGTGGCCACGGGTCTGGGCAATTTCTGGTCGCAGTGCGTTGCATTCTGTGGCATAATGGGTTGCCAAAAAATAGCGTTCATCGAGGCACCAGCCCAAAGCTAGACGAAAAGTTATCGCAAAACCATTTAAAGACTTAGCAAGAAGGAATGGCATGCGCAGCCATTCATGCTTACCCCCTAAAGCAAGCTCTTTTGAACTCTTTTGCAGTGGGAGCTTTTTCTTTCGAACTGGAGCTGCCAGACTGAGCGCTCTTCGCATGCCGCTTTCACTCGAAGGCTGCAACTTGACCCAAAGATGTGACAGCGCATTTTGCGTACTTCGTCTACTAGTTTCTGATACGCTATCGGTGTAGCATGGTGTAGCCAGAGCCGCGAGGGTGTGTTTGATGTACTCTGTCATAGTACAGCTACCATTGTTGAGCAGAAGCAATGAGAAAGTGCTTTGCATACGGTTTTTGGCTGCGGGGACCGACGGGATTCAAATCAGCGACGTTCGGCGCACAAACAAGTTTCGGGCCCCTTTGCAAGCATGGGGGGCGGACCTTGGAGCCCGCATTTCAGTGCCTCGTTTTTGCTGCCTGTGCAGCGCACCGATCTGGCGCATTGGCCCTTTGAATCTGCACAGCGAATATTTGTCCGTAGTCAATCCGCTTTGCAAATTTGCAAAAGGTAACTGTCATGAGCTACAGCATGGAGGAGGAAATCAAACGAACATTTCAAGCCCAGGCGCTCTTCAGCAGATTGTCCAGGACCCGCAGCAGGGGGTGCTACTTTGTACGTATTCACTTCCAGACCATGCCAGGCCAAGTCCTATACTGCCGAGCATGTGGCTTGCTAGCTTGGGAAGGCATGGCTGCAAGCGCTTCCTGGATGCAGGACGTACAGCGGGAGAGAGCGCAGAAAGCGACGTAGGCTCAGTGGTCAGCAAAGGACGGAAAGATATCAGACGTCCTTATGGGTTTTGACCAGGCATGCGCAAGAACAGCTATGTGGTTTAAGAAGGCGATCCTCAAGCCAGCTAGCATAGCTCAGCAACAGTATCGCCTGGTCGAGAAGGGCACGATGTTTGGCCACGCGCAGCAAGACTCGCAACTGCCAGCAATTGGCTCAAAGCAGTAGCTCAGGATGAGCATGAATCTTGCGAAGCCAAGGGCGAATCTGGGCTAAAGGCATCTGAGATTGTTTGGCAACCCTGAAATCCTTCCCTTGATTTGCGAAAGGGGTCCCCTGATTGGCTTAAGTAGGATTGAAGATTAGGATTGGCCAGCCGTTCGGTTTGAACAGCATGGTTCTGGGCTGCGCTATTGGTTTCGGCTGCCAGCGTCAAAAATCAATAGTTGAAGCGCTGCATGCAGAACCTTAAAGCACCGCTGCTATGTAGCAAAGGCGCAGCGAGCATCGGTGCTCGACAATTTGCAATGATGGGGTTTTGTTTGATAGATCGTTGTCATGTTGCATGAAAGGTTCCGACAACTCATGGTGCACGGCATCTTGCCTTTGAGGCCTGCGCTAGTAGCTTGCACTTTCCCAAGTTTGCTTTGCTCAGTGATTTGCCATGTCTAAGGCGCAGTGCAAAGTCGAGCGTTTGAACTACCTCTGCCTTTGTAGCCGTTTCGGGCCAGAATAGACAGACTAGGCACGGGCGATTCCAGCAGTTTCCAGAGCTGCTCGGATTTGTGTCACTTGTTCGATCACATCAACATGCGTCTGAATGTCCAGCCGCCAGCACTTTGCTGAATATTGTTGAACGCGGCTTCAGGCGTGTGAGGCATGCCGTCACTGCCAAGGCGTGAGCTGATTGTTGGCGTGTATGTCATGTAGGGGTAGCGGCCCAAAGGCAAAAGGAGAGGATCGCTGGACAGCAAAATGCATGTGGCTCAATTTCACGTGCGAATGTCAGGCATCCAGGCGAAAGCTGGCAGCTGCCTTCCCGCTATAAGGCCTTGACACTCCGTGTGTAAGCACCGTTCTTCGCGGTGACAGTGTCTTTGAACTCGGCCCTGGTCTCCCCTGGAGAGCTTTTCCGTTTGCCAGGTTACGGAACTCATTGGATCCGGATCGTATGGCAGCGTTTGCGAAGCCATTGACGACAACAAAGGTGAGAGGCAGCACCATGTTTTGGATCTTGGATGGCCAGTCTTGGTGTGCCTGGCTTCGGGGAGACAGGGGCCTTTGCTTTGCAGGCAAGTGGTTGCCATCAAGAAATGCAAGCGCATTTTCGAAGACCTTGTGGACTGCAAACGCATTCTGCGTGAGGCCGGCACGCATGTGACATGACCAGTGTGCGGTTGTGTGAATATGAATCCGGC